CCCAAGCTGGAAGCAAAGCCAGGGGCAGGGAGGGAAATCCAAGAGGGTGGTGGGAAGGGCTTTCTCCCAGCTCTGGACGCCCTCAAGGCAGGGGTGATTTCTAAGTGTTGTTAAATGCTGCAGCAGCTCTGTCCCTACGTGAGAGCTGCCTCAGCTTGGGCGAGTGTGAGGATGTCCAGCTCTTCCTCAGGGCTTGGAGCACGGCAGGGTGCAGAGCTCAGGTTAAATCTTGTTTAAACACTTTTAATATCAAAATGCATTCCAATAGGGACTTTGAGGAAATAACACACGAAAGTCTGTTGCAAGCATAGGTCCCAGCTGCCTTTATTAAAGATCCACGTTGACGGATGTTTTGTCAGACCACTCTGAGGCCAGAATGTGTCCAAAAAGCTTCACTAACCCCTTGTTCTTCTGCTGGTAGGGCAGCGTCTGACCCCAGGTCTCGGGGGCTGCGTGGAGAGTCCTCCCTGGAGCAGGTTCACCCCGTGAGGATGAGCCACAGAGGTTCAGTTCTTGGAGCAGGTGAGGATCTCTTTTACTTAGTAATTGCTTTTGCTGGTTTTAATGTCACAGCTCCGGTGTTCCTTCATGCATTGTGCCCTGCAACAGCACTCACAGCTCCTGTGCTGGGCAGGGAGCAGTTCTCCTGTGGGAAATGGACTTGCAGAGAATTGTCAGAGTTTGACAGGAGGTTTACATAGTATGTATCTGAATGGAAAATTTGAGATAAGAAATGCTGACTTAGAAATGCCATGGAATAGGACAGACATTGTTGAGAGAGAAATGGAACTGGAAACAAGTTTTAAAGGATGAGTTTGTAAATAAGACTAGATACTTTAGAGAAATAGAACTATGAGAGATGCATTGTAATAAGATTCATGAGGGGTAATTTTTGTGTGTAACAAAAACACTGGTCAGTTGCTCTAAACAACTTCCCTCCTTTACTGGACACATCCTGCAGTGGGACCAGACTCCCCTCACCCTGGAGGAATTCCCTGCTGCTCTGGAGAGGGGGTGAAGCCAAAGCTTAGGAGCAGAGGAAAACCACCAAACCAGGGCCATTGTGTCTGTGGTGCATCCAGCACCAAGCTTTTTCCAAGCTCCCAGCACTGACAAATCTAAACAGGACAATGCCCATTCCTTCACTCCTCCAGCTCTCCCCCACACCTCCCCTGCTTCCCCTGCTCTTCTCCTCACTGTGCCAAGCTCCTGCATCTCCCTGCCTCTCCAGCTGCAGCCCAGCTTGTCCTGGCTGTGCCTGATAAAATAGGGGCCTGAGACTTTTCTAGCAGCAATCAATTCTCTTCAAGAACACAAAGAGCGTGCAATGCAGAAGAATCTTTAGGAAATAAATCCAAATAAGGGACTCCGTCTTCCTGCTTTTCCTGTAGTTCTCCTTCCTGGTTTCACCTGGCCTGGAAGGATGGGCATGGCCTGTATTTATCATATGAAAGTGGTGTTACTAAATCTGTTCAGAAGTTCTGATTACAACACTCATTTTCTGCCAGAAAACATTTTCATTTCATTCTTTTCACCCAGGATGGCTCTTTGTGGTCTCAGACAGTGTTCCCTGGGAGGAAGGGCAGCCTTTGCCTCGCCTGTGCAGCTCAGGTGGATGTGACAGAACTGGTGTGGCCTGACGAGGCATGAGCAGCTGTCTGTGCACTGGAGTGCCTTGAAACCTTTCTCTGTGAGGTTTTGGACACGTTTCTCTTTGGGATTTCTGGTGACACAGCACCCAGGTATCCTTTCCTTTGTATAAAGTCCAGTGGTAAAGGATTGAATGACTGACAAGTGGGGCCTGAGATAAAAATGGTTCTGTTAAAATTAGGCTAAGAATTAGGCAATAAGAAAAATTAGCTTCCTTTTAATGTATGAAATAGTTAGGAATAAAAATGCTGGAAAAGGGCACTTTTATATTTGAATTGGTGTCCCTTCTCATGGATAAAATCCCATCGTGAGCAATCACAGCAGAAGTGTGAAAGTGGGATCATTTGACTTCCACAGTGGATTTATGCTCTTTTCCTCCTCTCAGGCTAGGAAAAATCATTAAGCTCCTCCCGTCTTTGCCAGAAGCTTCAGCGTTTAAGCAGCCAAAGCCAAGAGGCTTCAGCACCAGGGGTGTGCACTGGAGGGCTCCTGGTCCTGCCCACATTGTGGGGTAAGTCAGAGGAACGCAGGGTTCCCCTTTTCCTCTCTGCTGGGATTAACTGCCTCGGGAATGCCATTTCTGACAGCCCGGCCCTACCCCTGTGTGCTGGGAAAGGGCAGCAGGGAAGGGGCAAATGCCAGAGTTCCCTGGGGATGCTGGAGTTGTGGTGTTTGGCTGTGCCCAGGGGGGCAGGCTGGGCATTGTTGTGCACCCAAGGGCTGGTCTGGGGCTCGGAGCCCGGGGAGCCGAGCTCTCGGTGCATTCCCAGCTCTGCCAGCTGCTGCAGGGCTGGGTGGCAGCCTCTGCTGGGGCTGGGGCAGGAGCTGCAGGGGAGGGCTGGCAGGATTTGGGAGCAGAGGGAGGAAAATGAGGAACGCTGCTGTCAGTGCAGCCGTGCAGGGCGCCGGGATCTGGGTTCAGCTCCAGCTCTCCTGGGGTTCAGGGTGCAGGGGCAGAGGGACTGGGTTTATCTGTGGCTTTCCAGGCCAGCAGGAACAAGGGGAATGTGGGGCCAGAGCTGTGTCCCATCGGGCTGCGCTTCCCTCTGAGCACAGAGTCTGGGCTGAGGTGAGATTGCTGCGAGTGCCCCGTGAGCAATGCAGGGAACTCGGAACTGCATCCGCTGCTGGGAACGCTGCCTGAGCTCTGCTCAGGCTGTGTCTGTGAGGAGTGGGATTTGGGCTGCAGAGCTGCTGCTGGGCACAAAAAATGGAGTAAATCCTCTCCAGGGACGTGCAGTGAAGGACGGTGCAGCAGGGAAGGGGAGTCTTTACAAACTCTATGAGTATTTCTCCCAAAATTGGGAGAAATGGGGTGGAGCAGAGATGGGGGTGGTTTGGTTTTGTCTGGGCCGGTTATTCCTTGCGCAACGTTTTAAATCTGTTGTAGGATTTACTCTCCAGTATCTTTCTAACAAAAGCTGACAGAAATTTAGGTCCAGGGTTAGAAGTTGGGTCCATTCGCTGCAAAACCTTGCCCAGGCTGGAGGACCGGGGTGATGGCCGCTCTCAGCAAAGGTTACCTA